AGCATTGTATTATTTTAAAGGCAAGAACAATTTAATCCTATTTTAAGTTACATTTTTTTCAGGGTTAAAAAAGGAGATGTTTAATAGTGTATGACAATTTAACACAATGATTTTCAGGAACAGTGTCTTACACAAAAGCCAGAAAAAATAAAAGCTTTTTTAAAATTCATTGAATGACAAAACCTGTCAGTGAGTATGCACAGTCAGCAGATGCCAGAGATCTGAAAGGAACACCTCAGGAGTATAAGGCTGCATCATAAAATCTAACTGAACTATTTTCAGTAGTATTCAATACAAGGAAACTTAGGGAGGATCCCTTATCAAGACTGAAGTTCTCATAATTGAATTCTCAATAGAAGAAATTTTAGAAGAAATATTGACATTACAAACACTATCAAATCCCCAAGGTCAAAATGATGTACATAGGGAAGTGGGATGTACCATTTTTCTTTGCCGGGCCTCAGGCCTAGAAGGAACGTAGGTGGAAAAGGTGCTTTTTTAAAGAAGGGGACTCCTAGGAACATCTGAGGAACTACAGACCAGTAAGTCTGACTTCTGTGTCAAGTGTTTTGATAGAAAATGCATAGAAAAGTATGATTAGTAAGATTGTATTTATCACATTACCATATGCTAATCTTACTATGCAGTCCTATACCATGAACACAGCTTATAAAGAAGGAAGTCATGCTACAATCTGTATATAACTTTCCTGAAGAATCTGAGAGAGGGTCTAAGAGAGAATAGAAAGGGTCAAGATAACACGGTGTGCTTTCATTTCAAATAGCTCTTTTGACGGCCCACATCATGGGCTGTCAAATACATGAAATTCTCAGAGAGGTTGAAGGACAGCCCCATTCTGAATTAACAACAGATTAAAAAAATCCACCTGTTGTAGGAGTATCTGATCAGTTTGTAGAACTGAGAGACTGTCAGTGAAGCCACAGAATACTTTTTTGTGACTTTGCCATTCAACACATAAACCATTGGGAAAGGAAATGAACACAGAGGTAGAAAAGCTTGTTGATATAAATTATTAAGGATAGTTAAAATTAAACCTAACTGTGAAGAGCTGTGAAATGATATCATGATAACAGGGCAGATAGGTAATAAATAATGTCACCCAGTACAAATTTATATAATACCCAAACCTAAAAATATAATGCCTTTATTAGACATTGTCAGTAAAGAGATTAGGGTGCTGCTGTGGATGAACATCAGCTCAAGTGCTAAAAGGCAAATGGAACTAAATCATGAGGAAAGCAATAAGGAACAAACAAAACCAAAAAAAAACCCAAACAAAAAAAAAAACAAGCAAAAAAAATAGTGATAGGAAGACCTACAGATTCAATATCTCAAAATGATAGAATGGAATTCGAAATGGTGCAACATGGGCACTAGGAATGATTGCAAGTTTATTAAAGATTCACTGTAAGGAAGGATTAATAGTCTGGGATTTTTCAGTCTGCAAAAGACACAGCTAGAAGGGGATATGACACATATAAAATCATGAATGACTCAACTGAGATGAATCAGAAACTGGCATTCATAATCACAAAAAAAAGCACCAGAAAACAGCAAAAGAAGTCACAATGAGTGTAATTAAATTATGAAGTTTATTGACATAGTACAAGCCAGCGGAAATATATTTTTTATGACAGATTAGACTGGGAAAGACTTCAGTCAAGGCTAGGGAAAATTTTAATTGACTACAATTTGGTTGATGCCCTGACTTTATTTTAATACCCAGTATACAAAGGTTAATTTCCTTTTTTCTACCCCCAAAAAAGTACCTTTTAAGCTTTAATGACAGAAGTGGTTCAGAATTTGCCTTTTAGAATCATAGAATCATAGAATCGTTTAGGTTGGAAAAGACATTTGAGATCATCAAGTCCAACCTTTAACCTAATCCTGACATCCCACCACTAAACCATGTCCCTAAGCACCTCATCTATCCTTCTTTTAAATACCTCCAGGGAGGAGGACTCGACCACCTCCCTGGGCACCCCGTTCCAGAGCCTGACAACCCTTTCAGTGAAGAAGTTTTTCCTAATGTCTAGCCTAAACCTGCCCTGGCGCAGCTTCAAACCATTCCCCCCTCGTCCTATCATCTGTTACCAGGGAGAAGAGGCTGACCCCCACCTCATTACAGCCTCCTTTCAGGTAGTTGTAGAGGGCGATCAGGTCTCCCCTCAGCCTCCTCTTCTCCAGACTAAATAACCCCAGCTCCCTCAG